TGTCCTGGTGGGTGAATGGTCTCTCAAAAACAAGACCCCTTCCCCTCCCCACTGTGCGCTGATCGCGAAAAACGTACCCTCTGTTTGGGTGGGTATATTGATTCTAAATTGGGGCGCATCGGGAAGTGACCCCTTCCCCTCCCCTCCTCGCCAATTCTTCCCCCACTCTCCTCCCCCTCCTCTGTGCTGCGGACCATGACAGAAGTGCCCTCTGGTTAAGGCCCTTATATGACCTATTGCTTCTTTCTTTGCTTGCGACGCCTGGAAACCTTCCGGGTCTTCTCCCCCCTGTGCGCTGCATGCGCTGACTGACCATGACAAAGATGCCCACCCACTGTCCGGGAGGGGGCAGCGCCTCCATGCGCGCGCCAGCACATGAGACGTCTCAAAACCCTTCCCCTCACCCTCCCCCCCCTCTCCTCCCCCCTGTGCGCTGCATGCATGCGCTGACTGACCATGACAAAGATGCCCACCCACTGTCCAGGAGGGGGTAGCGCCTACATGAACGTCAGCACATGAGGCGTCTCAAAACCTGTCACTCACTCCCGCCCCTTGCCCTCACCCTCCTCCCCCCTGTGTGCTGACTATGTTGAAATCACTTTTGAGAATTCTCAAATGCGCTGACTGACCATGACAAAGATGCCTTCTGTCCGGGTGGGCAGCGCCTCCATGCGCACCAGTACCATTTCTAAGACACCTCGACACACCCCCCCCTCTCCCCCTCCCCCCTTCTCCTCCCCCCTGTGCGCTGCACTGACTGACCATGAGAAAGATGCCTTCTGTCCGGGTGGGGAGCGCCAGCACCATTTCTAAGACACCTCGACACCTCCCCCCCCCCCCCCCCCCCCCCCCCGGTCTCCTCCTCCCTGTGCGGTGCATGCACTGACTGACCATGACAAAGATGCCCTCTGTCCGGGTTGGTAGCGTCTCCATGCGCGCGAGTACCTCATCCCCCGCCGTCACCCGCCCAAACACCGCGTACTGCAGCAAGGCACAGGTGGAGGGCGGGGGGAAAGAGGATGAGGTCACAGGGGAGCAAGGGAGCAGGGGAGCAGGGGAGCAGGGGAGCAGGGGAGCATTGGAAGACTTTTGAGACTCAAAGGTAGCGCCCCCATGCGCGCCAGCACCACATCCCCTGCCGTCACCCGCCCAAACACCGCGTACTGCAGCAAGGCACAGGTGGAGGGCGGGGGGAAAGAGGATGAGGACACAGGGGAGCAGGAGAAGACTTTTAAGACTCAAAGGTAGCGCCTCCATGCGCGCGAGCACCTCATCCCCCGCCGTCACCCGCCCAAACACCGCGTACTGCAGGAAGGCACATGCATGGGGGAGATGGGAGGTGGAGATTGAGGATGAGGGCGCAGGGGAGCAGGGGAGCAGGGGAGCACTTGAGAGACGACTTGATATTTGCCCCCATGCGCGCCACTACCTCATCCCCTGCCGTCACCCGCCCAAACACTGCGTACTGTGCACCAGCCGCATGGGGAGATGGGAGAGGGGGGGCGGATGAGGGCGTAGAGGAGCATGGGAGAACATAGAAATGCATAAGAGAGCATGGGAGGGCATGGGAGAGCATGGGAGAGCATGGGAGAGCATGGGAGAGCAGAGCATGGGGGAGGGGAGCATGGGAGAGCATAGAATGCATAAGAGAGCATGGGAGGGCATGAAAGAGCAGGGTAGCAGGCAGGCACCCACCTTGCCGTCTAGATGAGGGGCATCTCCAAGCAGCATGGAGAAGGAGGAGGTGCCGCTGTTGGGGTCATCGTAGCTGATCACGGACAGGACAGGGAGGGATGCACGCATTGGAATCAGGCACGAGTGGGGTGAGGAGGGAGTGTTAAGGGAAAGCAGGGAGGAAGGAGGGAGTGTCGTCGTGCATATACTGGTTGCTCCGAGAACATCTGTGCACCAAAAGACATCAGACATCACTTCTGGTGGGAGCAGGGAATGGGAAAGGGGCATTCTCGAGCAGCATGGAGATGGAGGAGGCGCCGCTGTTGGGGTCATCATAGCTCATCACGGACAGGACAGGGATGCATTGGAATCAGGCACGAGAGAAACGCAGGGGCGAGGGACAAGGAACGAGGGTCTTTTGTTTTGTGAAAGAGAGAGAATTTTAGAAAATGGCATGGAGGAGCAGGAGGAGGAGGAGGAGGAGGAGGTGGAGGAGGAGGAGGAGGAGGAGGAGGAGGAGGAGGAGGAGGAGGAGGAGGAGGAGGAGGAGGAGGAGGAGGAGGGAGGAGGAGGAGGAGGAGGAGGAGGAGGAGGAGGAGGAGGAGGAGGAGGAGGAGGAGGCGGAGGAGGAGGAGGAGGAGGAGGAGGAGGAGGAGGAGGAGGAGGAGGAGGAGGAGGAGGAGGAGGAGGAGGAGGAGGAGGAGGAGGAGGAGGAGGAGGAGGGGGAGGAGGAGGAGGAGAAGGAGGAGGAGGAGGAGGAGGAGGAGGAGGAGGAGGAGGAGGAGGACGAGGAGGAGGAGGAGGAGGAGGAGGAAGAAGATCCACTAGCAAAGGGACAGACGCACAGAGTGCGAACGGGAGGCATCCAAAAGCATCGTGAATCTGTCTGCTTGTATCCTGCCACTCCAAACACCCAAAGGAACAAAAGCCCCCAAAGACCTTCCTCTCACTCATCGCTTATCACTCATCACTCATCACCATGCCATGGAGAGCGTTTTCCCAAGAACCCCCCCTACCCCCCTCCCCTTCCCCTTGACCATCTCGATTGCGCCCATGCAGTTCTTTTCCCCTATCTCTTTCCTCTCCCCCCTCCCCCCTCCCCCCCACTGCTTCCGCTCCGCGCATCCTCACCGCGCCATGGAGAGCGTCCCCCGCCTGTGGGGCAGCGCGGAGAACTCCCCCGGGACAGTCTGCTCCGCCTCCCACCGCTGCTGCGCGTTCAGGGGGACCTGCCGCCCGCCCACTACGTCCGCCACCTGCGCCACGAAGCCCTTGTCCACCTGTGCGCGCGCGGAAGGGCGGGGGAAGGGCGGGCGCGGAATGGCGGGGAAGGGGGATGGGAAGAGTTCTGTTCTGAACCAAGTACCCGCAATAACTGTTGCACCTGGAAAGGGTTGTGCTAGTGTACTCAGCGTAATTATATGAGCGGTAATGAAAAAAAAATAGCAGGAATAAATGCAAAGGAGAGCATGAAGAGTAATGAATGGTTTTATACTAATACTACTGTACCCGGAAGAAGTGGTTTGTGGCATAGCAACCAAGATGCGCGAGGCGAGAGATGTGTGCTACAGTGCGAGGCGCCACTTGCGGGTAGAATCCAAACTCGATGTCGCCGAAGTCCGTCTGACGTGTCGAGTGGCGATTGGAGGAGAGCATCCCCGCGTGCAGACGGCGAACAGGTCAATAAAAGAAAGGAAGAAAGAAAGGGGGACAGACATGAGAAACGGGGCGAGAGTGCGAAGGGAGTGATGCGTTGGGATAGGAGACCAAGAGGGAAGACGACGCGAATATCGTCGGACGGAAATGGAGGGGGTTGACCTACGGCAGATTTCCGCGTGGGACCACCTACTTGCAGTGTCAGGACAGGACCGCAGATTCCCGCTGGTCGATCAAAAACATTTGCCATCAATACTGATGCGAATGCGAAATACTTAAGGGACGCGGATGTGGGATTCTGCCGCGCCTTGGCCCTAAATTAACTAGCGGTAAGTGCGCTAGAGGGAAACATCCGCGAAAGTGCCAACTCTATGGAAAAGCGGGACAACGGAGCCGTGAAGAGAATAGACGTGCCGCGAGCAAGGCAGGAAGGAGATCTGGAAGAATGGCTCTGGAAGCGAAAATGTATGCGCGATGCGCAAGCGAGCTAACAAACAAGAGGATGCTTTCATCGAACGTTACAGGTGCCGTCATAATGAGGCCGCCGTGCCGAATAACGGAGAACGGTAAGGGTAACGGACCTGAAAGACGACTCGTTCGGTACCCAACTGCGGCTCGATCTGGGGTTGGGTGTAGAACGCGTGCGCGGCGCGGGAAGAGAGAAGAATAGAGATTGTCACGAGCAGGCACTTCTCCGCCATCCCGAAATGACGAATCATTTTGTTATTGGGTTCCTCGATCCTGCTGCGACGACGCGGCTAAAGCTCGGTGCTATTAGCGGGACGCGGGCAAGACGTTGACGAGACGAACCCAACTACGTCGCCGGCAGAATCGAGCGAAGCTTTGGCACCAAAGCTTTTCTGATCAGGCCGAACAGGACGGCATGGTAGTGAGCAGGAATGACAACTGAAACTTGTCACGTCGATTAGGTGTGAATGACCGACCGCTGGTTTCCATTCATGATTGTCCGTCTTTGGTTTGGTTGGCATGGCAGAGGTGGGAGAATGAACAAACTTCTAGGCAGAATGAAATGGAAAGCTTTTGCAAGTCAGGAAGGTTCACCCTTCAACCACGGGATAGAGCATAATTTTCCGGGGTAATCTTCTTGTCCAGTCTCGCTGGCATAATGGATACCTTAAACTGGTTACGACCAGAAAAAACAACTTTAACCAAGCCTCAAGACCTCGGATGACCAATGGTGGGGGGTTTGCAGCTTTGCACACCTGCCTCTGAACGGGGCACCTCTCGAGATACCCTCGAGTTTCGACTTGACTTTCGGTTCGGAACCTGTCTCATTCCAGGTTCCGAGGGCGTGCTCGGAGTAGCTACAATCACTAAGTAGCGCGCCAAGTGTCAGACAAGCTCCGTTGGGGTCACGGTTCGATGTGGCATTTTGGACCCTCGAAACCGGAAACAGGCTCCCTCTCCTCGAACCTCGACTCGACACAACGAAATATTGGTGAATTGTAGGTTACCACGTGTTACCAGTCAATATTTTGCGACACGAATCCAGCACCTCCCAAGCCATGGATACATTTCCTTCCCACCGCCTTCCCTAGCTCCTTTTTGCCTCTCTCTGTCTTCCCCCAACCTTTCTTCCAGCTCCTCTTTATCTCTAGAACACCACCGCAACAGAACCATCCCATCACACCATGGCGTCAACCAGCGCGATGCCGATCGCACAGCTTCTGGCGGCCAACCCGTACAATCCGGAGATCCTCCCGGACCTTGAGAAACACGTGGACGATCAGGTGGGTTGCGAAGATTGTCCGCGCTCTTCGGCGATTCCGAAGAAATAGGGTTTTACTGGTCGCGCAGGAATTCGACGTGTGTTTGCTGAAATCGCAATCCGACGTGGCACGACGGCCGAAAATCACCCAGTTGGGACGGTTATTAACTGGTAAGGTCTAGGTCGAGCAGGTTAACCAGTCGCGAACCAGTCACGTACCATCTGGTCCGATCGCTAACACGAGCGATCGGCGTGCGCAGAAAGCTATTGTTCCGCGAACATATGGGCTCGCTGAGGAAAGCATGCTGATCCGTGAGACGATCGAAAGAACCAGTTATGAGCGGCTGGCGAGAACTCGTGGTGCTGGATACGGTGGTAAAGACGTGGGGAAGATTGCGATGGGAACGTTAGCTGTCTAGAGAGTTGAAGGGCTTTTTTTTTAGAAAGGAAGGTAGGCGGCTTTTTTAAGACGACTTTTCGGTTAGGGAGGTAGGTGGGGACGATTGCATAGCGGGTGAAATGCAGCGGCGGGAGAGGCGAAGCAGAAGGCAAAAGCTGGTAGGGAAGTGGAAGGCAGGGAGCAGAGCGTTACAGATGACAGATCAACATGGCTGCAGAGTGACAGAGCGTACAATTGCGGAGTTGAGGCGCTTTGGGCTCCACGGTAAACCGCAGCAAGGCGGCAGACTGGCAGGGAGGCAGGGCGGCAGGACGGCAGTCCGGTAGCACGGCTCGTCACCCGCTTGCGTTGTAGCTACAGCTTGCTCGCAGTTCCCTGCTCGCGTCACACGCACCTGTGAAAGGACACCTGAGGCGACACGTGAGACGACACGCGAGACGACACGTGAGACGACGCGTAAGGCGACGCGTGAGACTCCTAGGCGAAGCCTGCAGCCACGGCATCCTTCCCTGTTCCTTCCCCGCGCGCCTCCCCCTCCCCGCGCACCTCGCGGAGCACCTCCTTCTTCTGCTAGGCTTGAAACGACTCATGAGCGGACTGATTCTGCCTTCGCCGCAAGGCCGTTTGGGGGGCGTGGGGAGCGACGTGAGAGGATGTACGAGAGGGCCTGTTTCTGCTGCTCCCGCACGTCTGTCCCCTCCCTCCCCACATCGCTCCATTTCCCGGCTGACTGAAGGCCCTCAATTCGGGCTCCTTTCTTTGCCATGTGTGCATTCATGTCATTGGTTGTGTGATGTCTTGTGCGTCGCGCCGTGCTGTGCCGTGCCGTGCCGTCCCGTCCCGTCCTTGTTGCTTCACGGCAGATCGCCAATGGGACGTACGATCTGGATGCCAACATCACACTGCTGCGCCTCTACATGGTAAGCTCACCCTCTCCTCCCTCTCCCCCCTCTCCCCCCCCCCTCCCCCACTCTTCCTCTGTTTTTTATTCGAATCAAAAGTTAACTGGATGGCAACCTCACACTGTTGCGCCCTTACAGGGTAACCCCACACTCTCCTCCCTCCCCTTCTCCTCTGCTGCTCTCGCCTTGCTTGTTCCTTCTCCTTGTCCACTCCCGTCTCTTCCCATCATGGTCTTTCCGAACCACTCTCCTCCCATGTCTTTCTCCCTCTCTGCGTGCGTGCGTGCATGCGTGCGTGCGTGTGTGTGTGTGTGCGTGCGTGTGTGTGTGTGTGTGTGCGAGAGTGACTGAGAGCAGTTTGAGCCCGCGCGAGTGAACGTGCGCAAGATTAGCGGGGTCCTCATCAAGGTAAGTTACGCCTTTGCTGCTCCCACGCCTTTGCGCTCCCACGCCTTTGCGCTCCCACGCCTTTGCGCTCCCACGCCTTTGCGCTCCCACGCCTTTGCTGCTTCCGCACCGTGCCGTGCCGTGGCGTGCCGCACCCACTTGACCGGCTCTGTAGTAGAGCCTCATTCCCCCCTCCTTTCTCTCCCCGGCCCTGTCACTGTCACCAGGCTATGATGGCGCTGCCTCGCACGGACGTCACTCTCTGCCTCTGCCTCATTCCCGAGAGATATGTCAGTGCCTCCCTGCCCACTGCCTTGCCCTGCCATGCCATGCCATGCCATGCCATGCCATGCCATGCGCCATGCCATGCCACGTTGTGTCTTCCCATGCCATGCCATGTTATGCCGCTCCATGCCATGCTATGCCTTCCCTCGCTTTCACTCCTAAACCTGCTCCTGCGCTGCGCTCACAACAACCACTCCCCTTCCCCTTCACCGCCCTTCCTCTCTGTGCGGTTCCGAGCAGCAAATTGAGGAGCCTCTTTCCACCCTCATCGCTCTCTCGCAATTCCTTGAGGTGAGCTGGCGCTGTGCGCTGTGGCCTGTGTTCTGTGTGCTTTCTGCTTTCTGCTTTGTCATCTCTACCTCCTTGTTGCCCGTCGTGTCAAGTCAAGTGTCACTTTCTCTCCCTGCTTCTTCCTTGCTTTCTCCGCTCCTTTTTTCCCCGTGCCTTGGCGCCCCCCTCTCTTGTTTCTTGTTTCTTTCTTTTTGTTTTTTTTGCTTCGCTTCCCAAGCAAGTGAATGATGCCCCATGCTTTACCTGTTCCAGCTGTTTGCACCCTTCTTACACGGCTCCCACTCCTCATTTCTCTTCCTCCCCCCTCCCCAGCTCCCTATTCCCCCGACTCGCCATGTCCCTTGAAATTTACTTCCTTCCCTCCCCTCCCTCCCTCCCTCCCTCCCTCCCTCCCTCCCTCCCTCCCTCCCTCCCTCCCTCCCTCCCTCCCTCCCTCCCTCCCTCCCTCCCTCCCTCCCTCCCTCCCTCCCTCCCTCCCTCCCTCCCTCCCTTCCCTCCCTCCCTCCCTCCCTCCCTCCCTCCCTCCCTCCCTCCCTCCCTCCCTCCCTCACCCTCCTCTTTCAGACGGCCCGGTTCCGCGAGTTCTGGTCAGAGGTGGAACAGCAACGGGACTTGCTGGGGCAGTGCCTGGTGAGTGAAAGCATGTGGGGGGATGATGTTGCTGCTGCTGGTGGTGGCGGTGGTGCTGGTAGTCCGCACCCCAGGGGCCAAAGGGGGTGTCCTAGTCAACCCAAAAGGTCACCTCCAGGTCTTGTTCGAGGTGGAACAGCAACATGACTTGCTGGGGACAGTGCCTAGTGAGTGGAGTGCGGTTGGGGTTGGTGGTGATGGTGGCGTGCTCGCACCAACGTTGCGAGGGGTCTCTGCGTGCAGAGTTGGATGGGTGTTGGATTGGGGATTGAGAGGCGAGGCGAGGCGAGGCGAGGCGAGGCAGGTGGTTGTGTGGAGTGGATTAGGCGATTTTGTAACCGGCTAAAAAAATTAGGGTGGTCGCTTACACCCCCCCCGTCTCTCCGCAGGTTTCACGGAAGCCATTCAGGCGTATGCCCTTCATGTGCTCGCCATCTCCCCCTCCCACCGTCACTATTTATCTCACATCTCAAGAGTTGTTCATCCCACCCCACGTCTCTCCTTGTATGGCAGGTTTCATGGAAGCCATTCAGGCGTATGCCCTTCATGTGCTCGCCATCTCGCACCGCCGCGTGCCCAGAGAGATACTGGCTGAGGTGGGCAGCGTTGCACGGGAGTGGGGAGCGGTGCACGAGGGTGGGGAGTGATGCAGGAGGGTGGAGAACAGCAGTACTGGATGGAGTGATGTGTTTGAGGTGTTGTCTTGAGTGGAGTGGAGTGGAGGGGGGTGGTGTGGGGTTGTAGGAGGGGGATGAGGTGGTGGTAAGTGCAGTTGGTTATGTTGTGACAGCAGCATCACCCATTTCTCTCAATCCCCCAGTGCTGTCCTGTGGCATGCTGTGCCGTGCCATGCCATGCCATGCCATGCCGTGCCATGCCATTCTGAATTCCCTTCTTAACCCCCACGCCTGTGCCGTGCTGTGCAGGCTATCAACATGAATGGGCTGGCCTTCGACGACTTTATTCAGAGCCACGTGTTGAGTCGACTCAACACACGATTCCCTACCCAACCCCCATGCGTGTGCCGTGACATGCAGGCTATCAACATGAACGGGCCGGCCTTGGACGACTTTATTCAGCGCCACGTGGAGGCCAGTGGTTGGATGGTGGCGCCAGGGAAGACCGGCCAGGTGTGTGGGGGTAAACGGGAGAGGTGGGAGGTGAATGAAAGGGGTTTGGAGGGGAAATGGGGGGGCATGTGAAAGTGGGGTGGGGTCGCCGCTCTATACTGTTTCATCCTCTGCTGCCGCTGCTGCTGCTTCCCGTCATCTGTTCTGTTCTTGCAAGCATGTTTGCACTTCTGGGGTTATGTATACTGAAAGTGTGGTTCTGTGTGCTTCTGTGTGCATATGTGTGCGCGCGCATCCATGTATGTGTGTAACTATGTCTGAATGCACGTGTGCGTGCATCTCTGAATGCTTGCTTGCATTCATGTGTGCTCGTATGTGTGCATGCATGTGTGCATGTCGCTTTGTATGTGTGCATGTATGTGTGCATGCATGTCTGCATGCATGTGTGCATGCATGTCTGCATGCATGTGTGCATGCATGTGTGCATGCATGTGTGCATGCATGTGTGCATGCATGTGTGCATGCATGTGTGCATGCATGTGTGCATGCATGTGTGCATGCATGTGTGCATGCATGTGTGCATGTATGTGTGGCATGGAGAGCAGGTGGTGGAGCTTCCTAGCAACATAGAGGCGCAAGCAGCGTCGCGGGGATTGACAGAGTCCATTCCTTTGGACCACGTGTCTCGCCTCTTCCCTATCCTCTCGTAATCAACATTACACCGTACCTCTTTTACGGTAACAGGATTAATGAGTGCACACGCATTTAGCAACCAGTAATGTAGAAGTACGTAGCACATTAAAATATGCAATGCAGCTGCATCGATGTATGTACACTTTGATTCGAGTTGGAGTTGCAAAACGCAGTTGCAACAATTCATTGCGTTTGTGCTATTGCATGGGGTTCTAAGGTATCTACGGTACCCTTGTTCACCCGTTCCCAGCACACCCCCAGAGCGCATATGTGCATTGCTTGA